TACATACATACATACATACATACATACATACATACATACATACATACATACATACATACATACATACATACATACATACATACATACATACATACATACATACATACATACATACATACATACATACATACATACATACATACATACATACATACATACATACATACATATACACACACATATATCACTCTGTGTGCATGCGTGCGCGCGTGCGTGCATGCGCATGCGCGTGTGTGCTTAAGTGCGTGCGCGCATGTGTTAATAGATGTTATAACATATTAATATATACATTGACATATATTAATATATGTGTTATAATATGTGTGTATGAGCGTGCGTGTGCCCATGCGTTTGCGTGCGTGCTTCAATGTGCGTGGGTACTATACCCCATTATGTATGTATACGTAGATTTTCATTGAATAAATAAATATATATCTGTTGACTAATATAGAAAAGTTACAGACTAAAATGTCTCGTACATTTTTGGGTTCTGTGTGCAAGGTTCAGTTTGCAAGCAATCGTTATACTGAATCGTTTCACAGAAATGAATAGTAAAAGTAAAATTTCCTGCGTGCATACGCGTTACTCACTGCACGCACGATACATAGTTAAAATATAAAAGCGAATTGAAATTGTGCATACGTGCATGAATAATGATTACGAAAACATGTGACACTGCCTATGGAACCGCGTTGACAAAATAAACGTATTAACACTCGAGCAAAGTCGGGCGCAATGCATACACGAAATCATTATAACGAGCTTGTAAATCATTCCACGCAGTACATGAAATGAGCTATTGTATTGCATGCTAGTAAAATTGAAATTGAAGTGACGAAAGTCGCTATTAGCAACACCCGTAAATCAACCGAGTGTCGTACAATAAAATATCTTACCAGATCGTCAGCCGTTCGCCTGTTATCCCTCCTTCTGTGTACGTTCCCTCGGGTACACTGCATCTCCCGACAGCCTGCTGCTGTCCACCTGTATACGCATGAATGAATCCACTGCTTTCGCTCTATCGCGCTCTCTCTCTCTCTCTGTCTCTTTCTTCTCGAAGGCAAGTTGCATCGCCTGCATACTTCCCAGACGGGCAGCCTTGTCTGTAGACTGCTGCTATATGCATCTATCAAATATGGCAGCTAGCATTGCTTGTATACGCGCGCGCGTTTGTATGTAGGTACGTGCGCGTGTTGTGTTTATATATATATATATATATATATAATATATTTATAATAATATATATATATATATGAATATATATATATAATACCCGAAGTTGGTTGCTGTTCCCATTCGGGTCTGTTGTAATTTTCAATATAATTTAATAATAGCTTTCAATCCAAATATTTTCAGTGCAATTTTAGCGATTAACTTCAGTAAAATGTTGAGTACCTGCGTACTATATGAGTATACTATAGTTGCAGATTAGTTACTCACATAACGTTTTTGCATAATAACGTCGAGAAATAGTGTATACGTTGCTAACAAACGCGAAATTTATGCTACGTATGCGTGTATACGCGTGTGGAACACATTTATCACCTACTAGTTAAGAAATTGTTTGCATTTATCTTTAGCAGCTTAAGTTAATCGTATTCGATATTCACAGGATGTTAGACGTACAGGATCACCACGTTGAACAATATGTAAATCTGCTATAGTATTCATTATTGACATTTGTGAATTAATGACTTCTTAACACTACCAATTAAAATATATAGATTAAACATACATCAAAATCAAAATCTACATTTTTAATCACGAGCGCATTCAAATAAATTTCCTTAATCATTTTCTTTCAATGCTGTGACATGCCTCTATATGTCGACCTTGCTAAGAGTCTACAAAAATTATATCAAAATATTTGGCTTTTTCCATCCACTACATATTCTAGATTGAGATGTGCTTCAAAACGGTTCATATTGTATTCTATCATAATAAAAACAACGGCAGCAAATTCTAAGTATAATCCAAAATAGTTCGTTTTCACGATGCGATAGTTATAAAATGTAAGGTAACGTACGAATTTATCATTTTAACATGCGGGCGCAAGTATATAGATCTCAGGGGGCCGTTGTCAGAAACAAAATTAGTCTTAACATTAACTTCCACTCGTAACCGTTGACAGAAACATCGCAAAGTTACGAGAATGAAAAATCCTCGAAAATATCCGAGAGCCCAAGGGGCCGTTGTCAGAAACATCGTAAAGTTAATGCTAATGTTAATGCTAAGATAACACTTAATTTACGACAATTACGACTAATGTCGACAATTACGACTAATGTTAATGTTACGTACGAGAGGAGCGTTGACAGAAACACATCGCAACTATTACTATTAGAAAGCTGACGATAACAGGAACTTCATCACAAGGCTGCTGATTGGATGAAAATCGATCACAAAATTCAAATTCATACACATTTATTGTACATCACATTAATATATGCATATTATGATGGCTAACCACATATAAATAATATATGATGAAAAACGACGTGGTCATTAATTTATTCTGCACAACAAGACAAATTCTCACACTGTAACAAGAGACGTGATCGAGAGTCGAGGCAGAGAAACCAGAGAACAAATGCCATACGCCATTTGTAAATGTTTTGTTTTGTTTTATGATCGGTAGGCCTAGATAATTAATGATTTTGACGTGTTTTTCAAAAAAAACACATTTTATTCATTATTATAAAATAGCCTACAATATCAGTATAATTGTAATTCGTAGTGTAAATGTGTTATTTTCATCTTAATATTAATGTTACGAGAGGGTCTGGGCTCTCGTAATGTTAAGAGGATATTTTCGAGGATTTTTCATTCTCGTAACTTTGCGATGTTTCTGTCAACGGTTTACGAGTGGAAGTTAATGTTAAGACTGATTTTGTTCTGACAACGGGCCCCTGACCCTCTCGTAACTTTAATATTAAGTTGAAAATAACACATTTACACTACGAATTACAATTATAGTGATATTATATTTTATAATCATGAATAAAATGTGTTTTTCTTAAAAAACAGCAGAAGGCAGAAAGGTTCGATATGATATGACTACTAGGCACTTTAATTTAATGTTTTTTTTTTAGGGTTAGGGTTAGGGTTAGGTTTTTTTTTTAAGTGCCTAGTAGTCATATCCTAAGTGCTTAGTAGTCATATCATATCGCACCTATCAGCCGGGTGCTAAAAAACACGTCAAAATAATTAATTATCTACCGACCATAAAACAAAATAAAACATTTACAAATGGCGTATGGCATTTGTTCTCTTGTTTGCCACGCTTCTCGCGTTACAGTGTGAGAATTTGTCTTGTTGTGCAGACCAAGGACCACTGATCTCTATACTATACTAAGTAGTAGGCTATAGTATAGTATAGTATATAGTAAGTAGTACACTAAGTAGTATACTAAGTTAGTATAGTGGAGATTAGTGGTGCAGACACGCAAGACAATTTCATGACTGCGTTGAAGATAATTCATGACCGCGTCGTTTTTCATCAAATATTATTTATATGTGGTTAGCCATCATAATAATTAATATGCATAAATTACTGTGATGTACAATAAATGTGTATCATTCTGAATTTGAATTTTGTGATCGATTCTCATCCAATCAGCAGCCTTGTGATGAAGTTCCTGTTATCGTAAGTTTTGACTTTTGTATCGATGTGTTTCCATCAACGCAATGGCTGGAGGTACGGCAGCCGTAGGTCGCTGAAGCCCCCTTTTAGGGTTAGGGTTCTATAGCTCATCTAAACTCTCAAATCGTGAATTTATTTTCCAAGGCGTTATTTCGAAATCTGGCGCCACCCACCGCCATCTTTGTCTCGTTAAGTATGAAAGCTAATGGACTGCCGTACCTCCAGCCTCGAGACATTTAGATACGGCTGCCGTACCCGTAGACACTGCCTTCTATCAACGCTCCTCTCGTAACATTAACATTAGTCGTAAGTGTTATCTTAGCATTAACTTTACGATGTTTCTGACAACGGACCCTGTTGTATATCTGACACTATTTCGTCAATAGGGTTGTACATAATTGAAGGGGTGTTGGCCGTTGGGGCTTGATGAGGCTTTAATAAAAGACACCTTCTGGTAGCTAATTAACCGGTTACCACAAACAACTACAATATTTTAAAGTTATACTTAGAATACAAAGACAGGTATAGTAAAATAAGACTTCTTCATCGATGGTACTTTTAAATTGCCATTTATTATATCAAAATACCAAACATCATTGTATCAAACTACAAAATTACTTATATATATGTAACAAATGAATACAACGTATTTCTGCTAGTTGTAAAATGTTGGTGAAATTATGTTTAAATTTAAGAGCACAAAATACATTAAATGTAAAATCGTGGGTAAAAACGTTTATGTACACAAGTGGTCGCTCACTTTGATAGGGATTCATTTTGACAACTCGATAATATGCACTATATATACAAATTCCACATTTTATACAAATTATCCATCAATACGATTTTGAACATAATCCAATATCTGTCTTGTGTGTAGCATGTTCTATCGTTCAGCTAGTTTTTGATGTGTCCAGTGTGGATCGTATGTCCTGTATGCTGTGTGTGCATTTGCACGCGTTTAGGCCTATATGTGCATTTCGATAACCATGATATCAATTTGATATCCACACACATTGTGTACAGCTTGACCCACCCACTGGAGAGAGGATTGCAAGTCGCAAATCACCCATTAGCTGTACATGGCAAGCATTCACAAGCACAGAGGTAACATATGGTTGAATGCCTCGCTAACTGTTACAAAACAGTCAGAACTTTACAGGCGGAAATGGACATCGTATCAGACTCATTCTCCTCGTTACGCATTTAAAGCGAATCGGAAAAAGATCACGAGCTCAGAGTGCAATAAGCGTTCACATCAGCCACCCCTACGCCCACAACCCATCACGGTCCCAGACATTGCCTACTTAGGAGCACGTGACACGATTACACAAAACTGTTCTCCCGACGAGTGGTTTGTCATTTTTTTACAACCGATAGAAGGAACTCATCACAATCTGCTGTGGCCGGAGAGCCATAGCGCAGCTAGGGTCAGGCAACCGCTGACAGTCAGAACACTAGTCCTTGCTGTGCTTGCTCCCAACTGTAAAGCAGCAAAGACACCATATTAAAACACTTGAGAGCTTTTATTGGGATAAGCCCGCGACTGCTAATTGCAGTCAGAAAGGGGTAGGAGAAAGTAAATTGAACTTGAAGGCACATAAAGGGAAATGGAGGAATGGTTTAAATTGCAAGGTGTCAACATTTCAATTGCCTGTAAGAAGACTTCAGCGTCCCGAAGGCAAACGTTATCATTTTCATGTGATAACATCACTGCGATGACATCACAGCACATGCATCAGAATGATCACATTAGTGTGATAACATCACTGAAATCACATCAATGTGGCAAGCTAAATGCGATGAAAGCAAGAGAGGATGAATTCCCTTGAATATTTCATCCACTTCTGATGAAAGCACTAACATAAGATTAGCATAAAGATATTATTAAGCAAAAGAAAATGCAATGCCATACATAACAGCAGATCGACTCACCGTCACAAAATAGTTGCACTGGTCTCCACTGCAGCACTCCATGCACCACCAATCCTCATACCAGTTGCGCTGGCATTTGGTGACAATGCGTTTATGTTCATCGTTGCATCGTGTCGTGGTACTGCAACCCTTAGTTATGTAGTACTGCCTTTCCACTGCAATCGTCCAGTCACCCACGACTGGTCCACAAGAAAAAGCAACCAGCTGTGTTATCGACCACACAAGTATGTACAGTTCTTCTTATTGGTACTTACTGTGCGTACCGAGGGTAATAATAACTATGACCCCAGTGATGACATTTGTAATGACTACAACGAAATAATAATGCAAGACAATATTCTAATGTGGGCTCAACCACAGCCATGGACCTTATAGAAATTCGTGATTGTAATGTCATTGGATACTCACAACTCCATTTAACATACGTGATGCATTTATCTTCTTCTGGATCGCATGTCTGTATGGTCTTGACACATTTGTCAAAGTTATCCCCTTGTTCTTCACAGACATAGCACTCCAAAGCTAACACTGAAATGCAAATAACACCCATGAGGCCAGCCCGAGTCCGACTAGTACTTTAGTCCTACCTAGCCATCACATCGGGTACATGTCTATATGCAGAGGTATCACGTAACTGCTACAGCACCTGAGCTGACGGCCTGACGCTGCCACATTCCTGTTTTAATGGGGAACGTGGCGGCGGCCATATTGTTATTGGTAAGGGGCGATGTGTAGCCACAGCCGACCTCTAGGAAACGGGAAACATTACCTTGCCGATCTCACTAGTCTACATACTTCTACCGTCGCTGTATATCAGCACCAAGGTAATCGACACTATATCACGACATATCCCTCTTCGCTTACGGTTGTTTACTGGTTGTTGATCAATAGTAGTAGATGATCGTGATGTTATAAGCGAAGTCAAAAACTGCTGACAAACGAACGTGACAATAACGACGCTTACTGATGCCTTGCCGTCAATATACTGCCTATACCCGTTTGCACAACTACTACTACTACTACTAGTACTACATTCTCGGTTATAACTACACGCTTATCTACACTCACCTGTGGAAAAGAGGGTAAACAGAGCCGCTAGCTGCAGATATATGTCCATTTTAACTAATAATCACGGTGTTCGTTGTTGACTCAAAATGCCGGCCTCTACCTAGCTACCTCAATCCGGTTGTGCTACGGGTCGGGCATGTAGGGCGGGGCGCTAGGCGCGGCACGGGTGACTGATTCTATACTGAATTGTCATTTCGTGCTTTCAAGCTATGGTCTAGGGACACAAGTCTCGCAATTTCTACTTGAATAATACTAATACGTACATCTGCCTTACCTATTAGAAACAATTCCCGAAAGACGACGACTTTACGTGGGAGTATCCCGTGGTGACCTACCCTCCCCACCCTATAATTCTTCGGTCCATACCTGAGCGGCTGACTATTCTTACCTGTGCTGTCCGTTGGTTTCGCATCATCGATCTGCTGCGCCCATGGATACATGGGTAGGAGCGACGAGAGGGATGCGGACATTTAGAACAACTGAGGTGTGTGTGCGCGTGCGTGCGTGCGTGCGTGCGTGCGTGTGTGCGTGTGTGTGTGTGTGCAGTGGCGCTGCAGTGGTGCAGTTGCTTTTTATTATCACTGAGGATTTTATTCTTCTGTGCTTCTACTGGACCTGTGGGCGCCAGTGTGTGTGTGGTTGTGTGTGTGTGTGGTGTGTGTGTGTGTGTGTGTGCGTGCGTGCGTGCGTGCGTGCGTGCGTGCGTGTGAGTGTGCGTGTGCGTGCGTGTGTCGGTGTGCACGCAACCTTTACAGCAGACGGTTGACGGTACGAGCGTGACCGGGTGATAAAATGATATGGATGAGAAGTATCGAGGCGTACTAGCATCGTCAAGTTATAGCCCGTCGCCAGTAGCAGTTAGCGTCGTCACGTAGCGTTGCGGCAGCGTTCAGCTGCAGCGTTGGTGTATAGCGTCTATGCAGCGTCGGCATATAGCGTCAGCGCAGCGTCGGCGTCAGTGCAGCGTTGGTGTATAGCGTCTATGCAGCGTCGGCATATAGCGTCAGCGCAGCGTCGGCGTCAGTGCAGCGTTGGTGTATAGCGTCTATGCAGCGTCGGCATATAGCGTCAGCGCAGCGTCGGCGTCAGTGCAGCGTTGGTGTATAGCGTCTATGCAGCGTCGGCATATAGCGTCAGCGCAGCGTCGGCGTCAGTGCAGCGTTGGTGTATAGCGTCAGTGCAGCGTCGGCGTAGGTCCGCATAGCTGGATGAAAGCGTCATGCCGCTTTGTCAAACGCTTTTGCAAAGTGTCTGTTTCTGTGTAACTGTGTAGAAGATATGCGCACGCACGCATACACGCCCACACGCACGCTCGCGCGTGCACGCACACAGGCGCGCGTACATAAATGTGAACAACCACACATGCAATAAACGCTCGCGCTTACGCACACGCGTACAGATACGTGAGCGAATATTGCAACAAGATTAGATCATGGGGGTAAGATGGATGAAGAGAGTCAATCCTGTTTCCGCACAGCAGCGTTCTCGAAATTCGCTTAATAAACTTTAAACAAGTAGCAATACGAGCTTTCTTTAATTCAAGAGTGAATGGTGATCCATCTTGCAGCAGCTCACCTCTGACATTTTAACTTTGAGAGATTTTAGGATAGAAATTGCGGAATTTATTTTGATGTGATAGATGTAGATATTATGTGCGAAAACGAAAATTTCACGTTATTTACTGTAATATATATGCTGATATGTCATCATAGTTTCTGTCCTGGTGTATGGTAATTTAAGTCGTATGGAAAAGGCTGACTATATGAATAACTGAAATGCAGATAATATGAAGGACACACTGCGGAGGGAACGATGAACAGAGCAGCAAAAAAGCAACACAGTAAACCTAGATATGAGAATAAACAATAAATACAATATATAAGAATAAAATATACTCCTTGTTCTCTATTTAATGAACGGACACGTGTTTTTATTTTGTCACAACAGCGGTACGCAAGCGTAGAATTCGTATGCTCTATACACCACAAATATGGTATAATATATGGCGCAGCGCATATAACTATAAATAAAACGTTCAATATACTGAAAAACATGTTACACAGACATCTCGGACCACATCATAAGAAGTACGTTGTTATACTACTGTTGTTTGATGTAATAGATCGTAATTGCAATAACGTTTGCAGTGACGAAGCGTCGACGAGTGCGTTTTCCCCAGACTAGAGGAAAATACGTCCACCGCCAGAAAAAAAGGGGAATTTTGCTCTGTTTCTCCCGCTGGGTTTCGGGACCATTACTCAATCGATAGAATTACTTTAAAGGCAGTAGTACTACGGATCTGCCACTGCGCCTCCCACGTACTGCTATTCCAGCTGACACGCAGAATATGCGTAACAAATGATTTATACAGCTATTATGGTTGCCTTTCATACATCTTGCACGCCATTATTTTTCTCCTGTCATATACACGTTTTTTTTCTCCAGCCGGATGACCGACCAACTTACATGATCTCGGGCCCTGCAAGCTGGTCCATTACATAACCATTACACTTAACAGGCATCCTGCTTGTACCATGTTCTCAATTGCTGCCACTAGTATAGCCTCTCCGTAGCGCTGTATGGGAGAGGAGAGCGAGACAGAGTGCGCCCGTATGTACAATATACTGCTGTACCCATGCAGCGGCACACCGCATGGAAACCGTACACATTAACGAATAACGCGTCAGATCACGCGCTTGCGAGATGACGTAATATGTCGCGCCATTCACGGTATAACTTGATGGATACTGGTTTCTCGCATACTAGGTATGAGATATCCCCCGAGATAGCCACCGAGATAAATCCTCGGGATAACTTGCAGACCCCGCGATGGGTTTATCTCGCACTACTTTTTAATCCAATGATTTCCCTTAATTACAAGGTCAAAGGTCACCGTTACAGTTTTTGGCCAATCAATACGCATAAAATTAGTTAATAAAAGAAAAAATTTGAACTGAAATGTTCTTTCTGCAATTAAAAGTAAAAAAAAAAAAATATGCGAGAAAAAGGTTCTATCACAGTCATGAGCTTGAGATGGGATAACCATCCCATACACACCATCACCTCATTATAGATAACCACGTCTCATACTCGCTACGCTCGTATGAGACGGGATATCTATAACTCGGGTGAGATATCCCATCTCAAGCTCATACTGTGATAGAACCTATTAGTCTGCGTCGTGTAGGGGAAAATTTAATAGATCACGAGAGGACTTACGGGTCGTTTTTCTATATCTCCGTGATGCTCTGATGTGGGATATTTAACACGTGATTACCCTGAACGTCAATGCACCGTCATGCACTGCGCTAGTGAGGTGACAGTACATTTAATCTAGACTGGTACCCGTCCCTTCTCACAAGCTCAATATATGGTTAGGGTTAGGGTTATATCGAGCTTGTGAGAAGGGATGGGTACCAGTCTACATTTAGTCTAGCCTTTCCTGCGCTCCACCACACCCGCACACACACACGCGCACACGCACGCATACGCACACGCACACGCACGCACATTCATATTATCACATCTTATATATATATATATATATATATATATATATAGAGAGAGAGAGAGAGAGAGAGAGAGATATATATATATATAGATAGATAGATGGATAAGATAGATAGGCAGAATATGATAGATAGATAGATAGACAGACAGACAGAGAGACAGTTTTCATCGGCAAAATGCAAGCTAATTACATAGAAAGCAATTAGTTTGACAACATATTTGCAAACCTTTCCGCTGCAATTAGTTCTTAAGGGGCAAGTAACAATTGTAGTACACAGCTATAGAGTTTTATACAACGAAAACATTTGTGCATAAATACTACATCTTCTGTTGTCAAACGAAGCGTTATATCTCATGAGGAATGTTGGTTCCGACTCCTTTAAGACAACATGCAATAGGTTATTGTATAGATCATAGATAATCTTAATCATTGAAATAATGATTTTTGCTATAGAATATTCATGATCACTTTGCTTGGGTAGGGTGTTTTTTTCATGCGGTGCAACTTAATAACCTCAATTTAACTGTCATGGCTTATAAGGAAACGTGAGCGGGTAAACCGCCAGTATCCAGAGACGGTTTAAGCATTCAATGTGCTTGTTTCTCTATGTCTGTTGTTCTCAAACTAAACCCGCATAATTATCGGTGAAATAAATAACCAGACTGCTACTTCGACTTCGCCCACCCTCCAAAAATGTTCACAACTCTGCTACCAAGTCCCGATAAATGTCCTCCGGATCTGCTATTTCTCAGATACGCCATCGGTAAATTATATATTTAGAAAACTAATCAACCATACTTGGAAAATATTAATTGCGCTCAAAACCCGCATACGACGCAAGGGACTGTTGACGGTGTTCGAGCCAATGTCGATACAATACAGCACGCTGGTGACTGAAATTCTATACATTGGTTCATCGGAAAGGGTTGGACCGACATAATACGTCGTTCTTTGATAACCTAGGTTCCAAATTTCAGTAATAGTATGAAACGCTTTCACTTTATATTTCGCTAACGATTGGAGGCTGTGACGTATTTAATTAAATCCACACGCGTGGGGGCATCTCGGTACTTTAGAGCTCTGGATACCGACGACGCAGCTGTAGCCGTTGCGATATCTGCAGTCTCTTGATAATTTGATTACATCGGCGTTAGATCGTAAATAAGAATGGCGCTCATCGCGGCACGCGTCAGAATAAGCAGCCTCTTCTTCTAGCATCTATAACAAATACGACATCAGGCCCGAAGCCAGCTTTATATTGGCGGGGGGGGGGTTCGTTTTTCAATGTTGGCAATTTGCTCGGCAGGGGCGTGTACAGGATTAGTACCAGGGGTGGGTCTAACCGTAACCCAAAGTTGCGAGCACGCGAAGGGGGGGTCAGAATTTTTTTTAAATTAGACCCCCTCAGATGCGTTTTCTGCGCGAGCAAGGGGGGTCCGGACTCCCTGGACCCCCCCTGTACACGCCCCTGCTCGGGCGCGAAGCGACCAGGCGGGGGAAGAGTGTGGGAGGGGGGTGTTCACTGTTCACCCTCCCGCACGATGGAGATTTTGCAATTATTACACTAAAATGGAGGTGAAATTCTTGCACATTTTCCAAAAAAAAAATGTTGGCTTTGGAGGGGGGTGTTCGTTCGAACCCCCCGAACCCCCCCTGGCTACGGGCCTGCGACATACGCATATACGCTCTCCTATGACACTACAATCTTCCTATGGCAAATATTGTTGTATGTGTTGTGCGCATCATAGGAGTTTAGGCGCGCTATTATGAACGCAAGCAGTGAATTTCAGCTGTAAAGCGGAACGAAGTTGACTCGCCAATATTTGTCATAGGACGAATCTTCCTATGACAAATAGTGTCATAGGAGAGTGTATATGCGTATGTCGTATTTGTCATAGATGCAAGCAGAACATGTTGGAATAAGATGCATGCGTTTGTTGAATACCTTTTTACGGTGGCGAAAGTGGATCGATGTCTCGCTCAGAGTGACCGGTAATTGGCGCTGACGCCGCATATCGGAAGCCCGTAGGTTTCCGTTAACATATACTGGCGTTTGTACGAATAAATGAACGAGTGACTCGTTTGGTGAGCCAACGCTCGGATAGATGTGAAGAGCTATACCTAGTAATTAATAGTAGCGTCCATATAAAAAATAAGGATTTGTGATCGCAGATTACGGCGCGTTTCGTTCACGGTGATGGATAGACCGAATAATTCTGTCCCATATAATCTTTTTTATATTTTGGTGAGGGTTATTTGGACAGAGCGGGGTGCATTGCAATTTCGTGAGATCGCATGCAAAATGCATGCGCTGCTAATAATGCGGCCCGTACGCCGCTATTGGCGCGAAAAAAACCTACCGTTTCCTTCTACATGGCTTTACCTTGCTACTGATATGTGTATACATTCACCTCAATCGTTATTCACTTCTTAAAAGATTGTTTTTCAGAAACCCCGCTTCATTTCACTTTAGTAAATTACATTCGCCATTTACAAACAATCAGACCAATCAGACCAATCAAACCAATAACCCTCACCAAAATATAAAAAAGGTTATTGGGGACAGAATTATTCGGTCTAGGTGATGGAGTGCTACAACAGGAATGTAGCACTAAAATAGCAGAGGAAATACAATACGATACTTGCTGAGCTGCACAGAATATATGAATGGTATTGTTAAGCTGCACAGCATATAAATGGCATTGTTAAGCTGCACAACATATCAACGTCCTTGCTAAGCTGCACAGCATATCAATGGCTTTGTTAAGCTGCACAACATATCAATCTTCTTGCTAAGATGCACAGTCTGTCAATAAGCGCAGTTGTACAGTTTATCATGCAGTATCCCCTTATGCTGCACAGTCTATCAAGGACCCTGCGGGATCTATCTGGTCCGTTTACGTAGATCGTAAGTGGATTTAAGCAACCTGTCCAACCCACTGCCAATCCCTGTATCGGGCGGTCTGGCTATATAGGCAGCTGTCAAGCCGTACGACCTAGCCGAGCTCGTGCCATTTTACAATTTAGTCAGGCCCCCGCCGTGCTAACTTCCTCTAGTTAGCTGCACGGTCTCGCTAAACCCATGCTAGAGCTCAGTACATGACGGGGCTCCTACTGCGTAGCGTTGCCTTGCTGTTCTCCCGCTACACGGGTTGGCTTTTCCATTATGGGTATACGCCGTGTGGTGTCGAATGTCTGTCGCTGCAATCGATGGTGGGAACGTCACATGATGAGCGTCATCAGCATGGCTTCACCAGGTGGACGTTCTTCGTCTCATCGCCGTGATAGTTAATGTAGACGACGCTTGTCGGGCCCGATACCCGCCTGCTGCTGGTGCTGCCACCGCATACGCGGGTGTTGGTGTCTGTCATCCGGCTCACTTCGGTGTGAACGCTCGGACGCCGGTCGCCTTCAAGTTTCGGGCAGCAGGGACGAAAGATCGTTCTTGACAGCCAGTTGCAGCACGCGATCTTTCTACGGAAGAGATGAAAGCGAACATTGCTGTGTATAATACGGCGCGGTGCCCATGCCGGTGTCACACACACGCACACGCACGTACCACACGCCACACACACACACACACACACACACCACACACACACACACACACACACACACACACACACACCACACACACACACCACAACACACACACGCGCGCGCGCGCACGCACGCACGCACGCACATACACAACACAGCACGAGAATATGCGTGCATGCCCAGAGCTTACCGATGCCGTGCAGTAGCGGCACACATGCACAACAAACACAACGAAGACGCAAATGGATACACATTCAGATCGCGTGCTACGTTATCTTCTCCTTCAAAATACAACATATAGTTTTGCAAAGTATGCAGGCGCGTGTGTGCGTGCATGAGGGGGTATGGGCAGTCGCCCGCTCGCACAACTCGTTCAGGCTAAAGAAAGCGACTAGATTATCCTGTTAAACAGAACAAGCGTGTGCCTATAGCTGTGCCTTCGCGAAGTGTGTGACTTCAGGCATTTGCGTTCGCGCGTGTAAGTGCGTATGTGCATATATACGTGTGGGCGCGTGTAGGTGCGTATGTGCGTATACGTGTGGGCGGGTGTAGGTGCGTATGTGCGTATACGTGTGGGCGGGTGTAAGTGCGTATATGTGCGTATACGTGTGGGCGGGTGTAAGTGCGTATGTGCGTATACGTGTGGGCGGGTGTAGGTGGCGTATGTGCGTATACGTGTGCGGCGCGTGTAGGTGCGTATGTGCGTATACGTGTGGGCGGGTGTAGGTGCGTATGTGCGTATACGTGTGGGCGGGTGTAAGTGCGTATGTGCGTATACGTGTGGGCGGGTGTAAGTGCGTAAGTGCGTATGTGCGTATACGTGTGGGCGGGTGTAGGTGCGTATGTGCGTATGTGCGTATACGTGTGGGCGCGTGTAAGTGCGTATGTGCGTATACGTGTGCGCGCGTGTAAGTGCGTATGTGCGTATACGTGTGGGCGCGTGTAGGTGCGTATACGTGTGGGCGGGTGTAAGTGCGTAAGTGCGTATGTGCGTATACGTGTGAGCGGATGTAAGTGCGTATGTGCGTATGTGTGCGTATACTTGTGAGCGATGTAAGTGCGTAAGTGCGTATGTGCGTATACGTGTTCGCGCGTGTAAGTGCGTATGTGCGTATACGTGTGGGCGCGTGTAGGTTCGTGCACGCGCACACATGTGTGTTATCGAAGCCACAGAAAGCAATAAGACTGTCACACGAAGGTCATCAAGCGTATGCTTGTGACATCGCGTAGTGTGAGCGTGTGTCGTATAGTATAGTATCGTATCGTAGTCGTAGTATCGTAGTCGTATCGTATAGTATACGTAGCTTGCAACAATAAGAAAGCCAAAATGTAAAACCGACGTTTAATTTTGAAGCCAAACTGTTATGTCCCAAAGAGTAGTATTTATATAGTGCCGACACTGTAGGGGCATTAAACACCATGCGGCAATACAATATACAAATAATATAATATAGTATATTATATATAAATATTAATATAGTATATTATATATTATATAATATTCAATCGCTAAACTATACTACTCTCGCATGATAGTTAAATTGTAGACGATTGCAATGTATATAGTATATAGATGCATCTGACTCTGTAGCATATTACCAGTTGCCAAGATTTAGTTCGCTTAGTGCTGGCATGTACATTTAGGCGAGCCGGGTTTATGTTGAAGCACCTTAATATCATTAAGTTCTAGAAAGGCCGATTTATGTAGTCGATGACAAGCGGACGGGTAGGGATGGGTCTGTGAAGGAGTTGTGAGAGCCGGGCCAAGCTAGAATTTCAGTAGTCTATTCTGCTGAGGTATATCGCCGTGTCTTATTTGGGAGCTGGGGATGACGTGGCGTGATGAAATGCAGACATACAGCACACTTAGCAACGGTATATCACGCCACCGAATCTGAATATCGATACCACCCATAACTTCCGCGTGGACGTGCGTAGCAGAACGTATAGGCAATCGATTATACACATTTGACTAACGTACGAGGTTACAACACCTTTCCGAGGCATCGCTCCGTTTTCTGAGTATTTCTAACTTGTGGGACGACATATTTCGACCGTTCAGAGGGAGTGAATCGGGATTCTATCTCGTTCACAGCGCTGACGGTCGTCCGGCGGTGGTGCGTGCCCCGCAAAGTTCCCAAGCATACGCTGTGTAAAGGAAAGCGTAAGATAGGAAGAGCCAGAGAAGCTCGTATGCAGCGCGCTATCTCATCACAGGCTTATGTCTAACACCGGACCTAACTAATTATGCGACAACAGCAGTCATCACTCGTTTTATTGAAGAACACAACGCGAAAGAGTCTGGATATTGGGTATACGCTCGCGTGCACTCCTGTAATGTGTGCCTTTGTTCGTGGCGTATACGTGTGTGTGTGCCGCACGTTTTTAGTGCTTGCGATCTCTTGTGTAGGTGCGTGGCGTGCGTGCGTGCATCCGCGAGTTTGCATGTGTGTGCGTGTGTAGTTTATGCGAGTGCGTGTGGTTGTGAGCGTCACTAGCACCAGCAATCATAGTAATATAATTCACCCACTGCAAGAACGATCACATTCATGCAGCGCTCGTATCCCTACTCATCCGATGTCTTCCCAGTAAACCTACATTCATTGCAGTGATTACATAAACAATAAATCGCAAACGCCTCATTAACCCTTGTTGCCTAATATTGTTATACCCTCTTGATAATATTGATATCTTGGGTCTCGTGTATCATATTGTGGCTATGCCGACATAACATGTCTATCTCTAAAAACTATTCATAGCGAATTCACGGAAATTGCAACCAAAGTTAAAAATTCAATATAAGTTGCTGAAATAAATATTAAACTACTGCCGACGATTAATTTCTCAGTAATATAAATATTATCAGTAGGTATAATAAAATAATTAGTATAATTTTCTCTCTAATATACGCACTATTTTCCGCATACCTAGCATAGTGACTATACATTTAAAATTCCCACCCAACTCTCTAATTCTGTTTACTCTTTTTTCGGCTCTCTTTCTGTCCCATTCTCTGCTATTCCTCTCTCTCACTTTCACTTTCTCTCTTCTGCTCCCGCTAACCCTCTCTCCTCTCTCTCCTTACTTTCTTTCTTTATCTCTATCTTCTCCCCTACCCTCTCTCTCGCCTCTCTCTCTCCTCTCTCTCTCTCCTTCTCTCCTCTCTCTCTCTCTCTCAAGAAACATGCGCGCTGTCTCTTTCTCTCCGTATCTGAACGCGAGTCATCTTTTCCGACCAACTGTGTTTAGAATCTCCGTTGACATGCACGCGACATTTTCGCAGAGCGATTCCGTCGCCGACGCTTTGCTGCTGAAATCGTGATGGATATTCCAAAAATCTACATCGTTTGTCGCTAAACGGCAAAAAAAAACAGCGCAAGTGCATAGCGCGCCGACTTCGAATACCACTAATCGCGTCGATGGCAGATTGTCGGTGCTGACACACGTGAGTACTGATGTTGTCGCGCATATGTCGGTGGCTGACACCGTACGTTACCTGAGTGTGCGGCTATTGTCGGTGGCTGACACACACTACGTACCTAGATTTGCGGCATATGTCGGTGGCTGACAGCACGTACGTACCTGAGGTGTGCGCGCAATAGTCGGTGGGCTGCACACGTACGTCCTGAGGTTGCGGCGTCAATGTCGGTGCGTGGCACACCGTACGTACTTAGAGGTTGCGGTCATATGTCGGTGCGTGAACACCCGTACGTACCTAGTTGGCTGCATATGTCGGTGGCTGACACACGTACGTAACCTGAGGTTGTGGCATACTGTCGGTGGCTGCACACGTACGTACGCCGTGTGCGGCATATTGTCGGTGGCTGACACACTAGTACCGTGATTGCGCATATGTCGGTGGCTGGGCAGACACGTACGTACCTGAGGTTGCGGCATATTCGGTGGCTGACCACACGTACGTACCGAGGTTGCGGCATATTCGGTTGCTGGACAAACGTACGTACTGAGATTGCGGACAACTGTCCGGTGGCTTGACACACACGTACGTACATGAGGCGTTGCGGCAATGATTCGGTGGCTGATCACACGTACGTACCTGGTGCGCATATGTCGGTGGCTGACACCACGCTACGTATCCCCTGAGTTTGCGGCATATGGTCGTCGTGAAGGCAGCAGTAGATGATCGGTTAGCTGGCGCTGTTAGCGGGCGTCTAGGCTCTGTACGAACTGCGATTTGGTGCCCTCGGTGTCATGTGCAAGTAGCCATCATAACGTCGAGCAGGTCGAAGACGAAAGTACGGGCTCCAGCACATGATGAACACTGAAAGACACGGACGTTATGTTGAAGCGCATGGCGGCTCCCAGGTGGCGAACCAATCGTTGGGCACATTTTGATTATATTATGGATGCAATGACTTGCGAAATGGTTAATTACGAAATCATTTTTACGATATGATATTAATAAGAACATTGTAATTCAACTCTGTTGCCGCAATGATAGAGCTTCTTCGCACGTCCCGCTTATAAAGTTAGATTGCGGTGAGATTGTGAAGTTTTCATGGTGAAATCAGAATATGCCGAGAAACGCGCCGGATAAGCGTTAAGCGTTCATATGGCCCGAAAACATAAAGCGCCTGCCTTACGACACTTCATTCATCGCGTTCAAAATTTGTTCAACGGTTTAAGTTACAATCTGAGTTAATAATACATAATATCGTTCGCGTAAGTTCACTGTTATTGTACTGCGTAATATGTAGAGAAAATCATTTTCGCCCATTAACTCGTCGTGTCAATGAGTTCGCGTTTCTGTTTTTCTATTAAATGGCAGTAATATTTAAGCCTATAAATGCATGGTGAATTGCTGATTCGGATTTGCGATGGCAGTAAGGTTATATAAACAAACTGTAACAGTTACAATAAGAAACAACAAGAAAATAGGAGCACCCGTTTTCCTTCATAACATGAGTAGAGCG